AAATATAATAGATAGTATGTATTTTCTCTTCCGGAATATATAAAAATAATATTTTCTTTCCGGAAAAAATATAAAAATTATGTATTTTCTTTTCCGGAAGAAAATACATATATTTTCTCTTAATAAACTTAATAATAAACATTTTCCGGAAAATAATAATTGTTTTCTCATACTTGAGATGTTTTTAGGAATATTTACACATTCATTCTACAAAAATAAATAATTAATAAAAAATGCCAAAACACAAAATTAAAAAAATATTTTTTATAAATAGAAATATTTAATTATATATTAAATAACCCAAAATTAATTTTTATAATTATGTTGCCTTTTAAAAAATAATTTTTGCAAAAAGCGATTTTAAGAAAATATAACGGTTCTCTCTAAAAAGAGTAAAAAATAAAATTTGCGCGCAAGTCTTTGGCAACTATGAAAATGAAGAAAGGGGAAAAGAAGCGGAACGGAGAACACTAACAAATTTTTTGAAGAAAATTTGTATTCTTGCGAGAATACGAGAATGGATATACCCAAGAGGTCGATTAAAAAGGGTCAAAACTGGAGAATAAAGGTGAATGGATCAAAGGTTACTGTATTGGTGGGATGGAAAAATGTTGGTAATAAAATCAGAATTTTTTTGTAAAATTCTGATTTCGATTTTTTTCTGATTCTGATTTTTGATTCTTTTGTTTTCTGGTTTTTGGGGTTTTTGATTTTCTGTTTTTTTTTGTAAAATTCTGATTCCGATTTTTTTCTGATTTTTTTGGTTTTTCTGATTTTTCTGATTTTTCCCATTCTGATTCTGATTTTTGATTCTTTTGATTTCTGATTTTTTGGAGTTTCTGATTTACTGATTTTTAGGGGTTTCTGATTTGCTGATTTTTTCTGATAATTCTAATTCTGATTTTTTGGGTTTTCTGATTTTTATGAAAATTCTGATTTTGATTTTTTCTGATTTTCAAATTTTTCCGATTTTCTGATTTCTGAAAAATTCTGATTTTTTAAATAAAATTCTGATTTTGTAGTCAACAAAGTCGGCTCGCGGTGGATTGTTCTACTTCCCCTAAATTCTGTTCTTTCGACTAAAAATTAAAATAATAAGGTTCAGAACTGGGAGAAAAAGAAGAGGATTAATTTTGTAACTTTATTTTAATATAGGAAAGATTAAAAAAATTTAAAGAGGTACACTCCTTTCTACCGTAACCAAGTCTGCCTCAGGGCTTGTAACTTCAATTATGAAAGTCGGATCGGACAATTTTGGTACCATTCGACGCATCTCTTCGAGCTGCATCGAATGGTACCAAAATTGGATTTCTACGAAATTTTTACCTGGAGTTATGGCTCTGCGAGTGATTGTGGTCTGGGTAGATAGACCCTACTCCCTTCTCCTTTTGCTAGTAACTCGATTTATAGAAGTCGGATCTCGACAATTTTGGTACCATTCGATGCGTCTCTTCGTGCTGCATCGAATGGTATCTAAATTAACTTTCTAAGAAATTTTTACGTGGAGTTATGGCTCTAAGACTGACCGTGGTCGCGGTAGACAGACTCTTCTCCCCCACTCAATTTAAGAGAGTAAAGGTGCGCAAAACGCAAAAAGTGGCTGCTTGACTACGTAGAAGGAGATCAAAAAGGGGAAGGATTAAAAATAAAAGAGGGCCAAAGGGAGAGTAAAAATGGCCGAGAGAAAATTAAATTTTTGTACGCGTTTTTAATTAATTAATTAATTACCACCCTTAATTTTTGTACAAGTTTAAAGAAGAAAAATACAGGAAATGGAGAAAATAAAGAGAAAATTAAAAAGAGAATTATTTGGGTAAAAGAAAAATAAAAAAAATTTTGTAAATTATATTTTGTGTTTGTAAACGTGTGTCCGAATTTTGTGAAATCGAATTTTTTAAGTCTAAAGAACAAGGAGGCAATGATGGAAATTTTTTTTATAAAAATTCCTATATTGTGAACTAAAATTGGGAATTGAGTTGTAAATTTCTGACTGGATTCTGGGAACTCCTATAAAATTTTAAAAATAATTGCGAGCAGAAAACATGCACTTTTCGGGAGATTAGGGATAAGATCCTTATCTCCTCTCCAAAGTAAAGGGGAAGTTTTTAATTTATCTAATTTTAACTGAATCTTACTCCTTAACAAATAATAGCTCATTCGACGCGGCTTTTCGAGCTGAATCGAATGGTGCTAGTTTCAGAAAAATTGGATGGATGTGGATTAAGTTAAGGTGGATCAAAGCTGCTCTTTTCCCTCCTCCCCAAAGTAAAGGGGAAGTTTTTAATTTATCTAATTTTAACAAAATTTCAATCCTTAACAAGTGATAGCTCATTCGACGCGGGTTTTCGAGCTGAATCGAATGGTGCTAGTTTCAAAAAAATCGGATGGATGTGGACCAAGTTATGGTAGATTAAATATGTTCTGTTCCTTCTTCCCCATTGTAGTAGGGATAGTTTTTAATTGATTTAATTTTAACAGAAGATCAATCTTGAACAAACAATAGCTTATTCGACGCAGCTTTTCGAGCTGAATCGAATGGTGTTAGTTTCAGAAAAATTGGACGGATGTGGACCAAGTTAGGGTCGATCAAAGCTGTTCTGTTCCTTCTTCCCCCTTGTAGTAGGGGAAGTTTTTAATTAACTTAATTTTAAAAGAAGATCAATCCATAATAAACGATAGCTCATTCGACGCGTGTTTTCGAGCTGAATCGAATGGTGCTAGTTTCAGAAAAATCGGATGGATGTGGATCAAGTTAGGGTCGATCAAAGCCGTTCTGTTCCCTACACCCTATTGTAGTAGGGGAAGTTTTTAATTGATTTAATTTTAACAGAACCTTACTCCTTAGCAAATGATAGCTCATTCGACGCGGATTTTCGAGCTGAATCGAATGGTGCTAGTTTCAGTAAAATTGGATGGATGTGGATTAAGTTAGGGTCGATCAAAGCTGCTTACCTCATCATAGTAGTAGAGATCGTTTCTAAAGGATTTAAGTTTAACAAAATTTCAATCATTAACAAACGATAGCTTATTCGACGCGGGTTTTCGAGCTGAATCGAATGGTGTTAGTTTCAAAAAAATCGGATGGATGTGGACCAAGTTAGGGTCGATCAAAGCTACTCAATTGAAAGTAGCAATGGCGAGTTTTGGTGTTGAGAGAATTTTATAGAAATTTAAGAGACACTTCTATTTCGTCTTAAAAGAATTTTTTATTAAAAATAAAATTATTTTTAATTTAAAATTTATTTATTCTAAATATTTTTTTTGCGTGATAACAACTTTCTATATTTGCCAATTTTTCAATTAACGTCACAATATGCAAAAACAATTTTTTTTATAAATTAGGCATGTTTTAAACAATAAAAATTTTTAATAATAAAATTTATTTTAAATTTAAATTTTGATTTTTTGATTTTTGGTTTACTATTTTTTAATAAAAATAATTTTTCAGAAAAATTTATTCCAGGTGTTGGTTCTCCACCTGGAGTGGGGAGAAGCTACAAAAAATAAATTCTGATTTTATTCTGTTTTTTTAAATTCTGATTTTGTTCTGATTTTTAAAAATTCTGATTTTTTAAAATTCTGATTTTTGAAAATTCTGATTTTTTAAATTCTGATTTTTTAAAATTCTGATTTTTGAAAATTCTGATTTTTTAAATTCTGATTTTTTAAAATTCTGATTTTTGAAAATTCTGATTTTTTAAATTTTGATTTTTAAAAATTCTGAAATTTTTTCTGAGTTCTGAAAAATTCAGATTTTTAAAGAAATTCTGATTTTATTCTGTTTTTTAAATTCTGATTTTGTTCTGATTTTTAAAAATTCTGATTTATAAAATTTCTGATTTCTAAAATTTTTTTCTGAAATTCTGATAATTTTTTGGAATTTTTGGAATTTTCTTTGGAAAAAATTTTTCAGAAAAAAATTTTATTTTTATTTTGAAAATTTTTTTGAAATTTTAAAAAATCAAAAAAAATTTGTTCCCTAATTTTCTCAATTTTTCAAAATTAATTAAACTTTAATAATTCACTTTTAAAAAATTAATTTTATTTAAAAATAAATTCCCTTCAATAATAATATTTTTTACATCTTTAAAAAACAGCCAAAAATAAGCTGAAAATAAGACTAAAAAATATTGATACAACTGACTATTAGAGTAAAAAAAATTTATTCAACAAAGCAACAAATGTGACTTAAAAATAAAAATATTTATAGTCATTTTCCCATCTTCCCCCAATTTTTTTTCTTCTTATTTTATTCCTCCCGAATTGATTATTTCTCTTGTTTTCTTCATATCCAATTTTTATTTTGTTTTGTTTCCTTTTTTTATTTTTCTAGACATCTAAAGCATTTCCTGTAATAATTTTGGGCAGTCTAGAGGCAATATTATGGGCCATAACTTTTTTCATTCTGAACCGAATTAAATAATTTTTGTACCTATCGAAAGCTGTGAATGTGAGGATTATTTTAGCTAACAGGAGTATTTTGATCAGATCATTTTACCAAAAGTTATAGCTGGATAAGTGCGCGCACTCGATTTTTGATATTTATTCAGCTGTAACTTTTGGGCCATAACTTTTTTGATTCTTAACCGATTTAAATAAATTTTTGTACCATTCGAAAGCTCTGAATGTGAGGATCATTTTAGCTATCGGGATTGATGTGATCAGACCATTCTATCTAAAGTTATAGCTGGATAAGTGCGCGCAATCGTGATTTTTGATCGTTATTCGGCTGTAACTTTTGGGCCATAACTTTTTTGATTCTTATCCGATTTAAATTTTTGTTATATCATTCGAAAGTTCTTGATTTGAGGATTATTTTATATAACAGGATTGATTTGATCTGATCATTTTACGAAAAGTTGTGGACAAATAACTATCAAAAATCACGATTGCACGCACTTATTCGACTGTAACTTTAGGTAGGATGGTCTGATCGAATCAATCCTGTTAGCTAAAATAATCCTCACATCCAGAGCTTTCGATTGGTATAAAAATTATTTAAATCGGTTAAGAAACAAAAAAGTTATGGCCAAAAATATGGCCTCGAGACGGCCCTCTACCCCAACTATCATTTAATTAAAGGACTGAAAATGAGTAAGAGAAAAATTGAAGACGATAAAAGCAATCAAAATATTTGGGAAAAATTCAAGCTGGACAGTAAAGGATATCTCTTTGATATTCAAATAAAACAACAATTAAAAGAAGATGAAAAAAGTAAACAGAAACTTTTTGAAGTTTATCAAGGCAGTAGAGAGGAGAAATTAACGGTAAGTTTAATTAAATAAAGGTTGAATCAGAATTAATAAACTATGAAAATCAGAATAAAATCAGAATTTTAGAAGTCAGAATTTTTAACAATCAGAACAAAATCAGAATTTTTCAGAAATCAGAATTTTTAAAAATCAGAATTTAAAAAATCAGAATTTTCAAAAATCAGAATTTAAAAAATCAGAATTTAAAAAATCAGAATTTTTAAAAATCAGAATTTTTAAAAATCAGAATTTTAAACAATCAGAATTTTTAAAAATCAGAACAAAATCAGAATTTTTTAAAATCAGAATAAAATCAGAATTTATTTTTTGTAGCTTCTCCCCACCCCAAGTGGAGAACCAACACCTGGAATAAATGGTTTCCGTTCAATTACACTTCAAGGATTGGGAGACTGGGAAAGTGAAATTGAAAATATTGCAGAATTTATTTCAAAAATAATTACATTATCCCCACCCAAAGGTATAAGCAGTGAAGAGGAAACAGAACAAAAATTATGCTTGAAGATTCATTTGCCTTTTGCTTTTAAAGGTGGGGAAGTGTTAAATCAGAATTTTAAAATCAGAATTAATAAAAATAAACTTAAAATCAGAATTTATATTATTAAATTTGAAAATCAGAATTTTTAACCATAATCAGAATTTATGAAAATAAACTTTAACCAGAATTTATGAAAATAAGACAAATCAGAATTAGAAAAAAGTAAACTTGGAACCAGAATTTTATTGAAATCAGAAATAAAAATAAACTTTAAATCAGAATTTATTAAATTAAACTTGAACCAGAATAACCAGAATTTATAAAAATAAACTTGAAATCAGAATTATAATAATTAAACTAAAACCAGAATTAAAAAAATAAACTTGAAATCAGAATAAATAAACTGGTAATAAATAAAATTAAAATCAGAATAAATAATGAAATCAGAATTTTATTAAAATCAGAATTAATAAAAATAAACTTTAAAAATCAGAATTTTTAATAAACAATTATAATCAGAATTTCAAAAAAAATAGACTTTAGAAACCAGAATTTTTAACATTAAATTAAATCAGAATTTAGAAAATAAACCTGAAACCAGAATTTTAATAAATAAGATTAAAATCGGAAAAAATGAGACCAGAATTTTATTGAAATCAGAACAAATAACAGAATAATATATCAGAATAAAAATCAGAAAATAATCAGAATCAGAATAAAAATCAGAATAATAAATCAGAATAAAAATCAGAATAATAAATCAGAATAAAAATCAGAATAATAAATCAGAATAATAAATCAGAATAAAAATCAGAATAATAAATCAGAATAAAAATCAGAATAATAAATCAGAATAAAAATCAGATTAAATAAACCTGAAACCAGAATTTTATCAAATCTAAACCTTAAATCAGAATTTTTAACAAGTAATTATAATCAGAATTTTAAGAAAGCGGACTTTAAAAAACCAGAATTTTTAAAATAAATTTAAAACCAGAATTTTTAAAATAAAATTAAAATCAGAATTTAAAATTTATTTATTCAGGTAACCAAGAGACAAATTTTTCCAAGAATCTCGGAGCACTTTTATCAATTCCAACCCTTTCAAAATTTATTGGTTCTTTCAGCTATTCAGAGGGCGGTTGCTTAGCCGAATTATTAACTCGTTTTCCCCTGCTAGAACCAAATCCAGAATTGTTTTATCGTTATGATATTAATGTTTATTGTGAAAATGATGTGCTTGTTGAGGTAAGGGAGAGAGATTGAGAGGAAAAATTCTGATTCACAGAAAATTCTGATTTTTTCAGATTTTTTTAAAAAAATTCTGATTTTTTCAGATTTTTTTAAAAAAATTCTGATTTTTTCAGAATTTTTTTTCAGAATAATTCTGATTTTTCAGAATTTTTTTCAGAATAATTCTGATTTTTCAGAATTTTTTTTCAGAATAATTCTGATTTTTCAGAATATTCTGATTTTTTCAGAATTTTTTTCAGAAAATTCTGAAATTTTTTTGAAAAAATTCTGAAAAAAATTCTGAATTTTTTCTGAAAAAAATTTTTTTTCAGAATTATTTTTCTGATCTGGAACGATGGTTAACTTGTCAATGGAGTAAAGCCCCAACACAAGACAATTTAAATAATGTCCGCCAGGCACGTTTAAAATTTGTAGTGGATAGAGAAGATACAGCACAACAAATTATTTCTTTGTTAAAAGAGGTGAAATTAAACTTAAAAAATTTAAAAATATTTTATTTTAGAAGTTTGAAACTGCCACCAATCAGTGTACTTTTATATTACGTTTAGATTGCCCTGGTTTTGCTTTACAACCTTTCAGTGTTGAAAATACAAATAGCGGTGAAGTAAGTTGTGTTTTTCTTAAAACACAATATTTCCGGAAAATACAAAAGCATTCCGGAAAATATTTTATTAAATAATACTTCCGGAAAATACAAATATTACAAGAAATTATGTATTTTTGTTCCGGAAATAATACATTCTTTAGATTTCCGGAAAATACCTTCCGGAAACATTTATAATTTATTTAAAATATTTCCGGAAAATACAAAATAAACTAATTTCCGGTAATATTACTTTATGGTAAACTATTCCGGAAAAGACAATATTACCTATAAATAATATTTCCGGAAATTATAATCATTCCGGAAAGTATGTATTTGTTCTATTCCGGAAAATATTTAATTGTTTCTAAAATTACTTCTGATTTTATATTTTCCGGAAACATTTATTTTAAATAATATTCCGGAAAATACAATATTAAAAGGATTATTTCTATTCCGGAAATATTTTCTGAAAGGTATTCCGGAAAATAAAATATTAATTTCTGAAACACATATTTCCGGAAAATATAACGAATAATGTATTTTCCGGAAAGAAAATTATTAATTCTTTCCGGAAAATACATTATTTGTTTGTTGTAATTTATTTAAAATACATAATTCCGGAAAATACTAAAGGAAAAATACAAAAAAGGATATACAATACAAAGGACATACAATACAGAAAAATACAAAAACCAGAATTCCCGTTGTATTTTTCTTTTGAGTATTCCGGAAAATAAATATTAATTTCTGAAACACATATACATATTTATTAATTCTTTCCGGAAAATACGTTATTCTATTGTAATTTTTTAAAATACATTAATTCCGGAAAATACAAAAGAAAAAATACAGAAAAATACAAAAATCAGAATTTGTATATTTTTCTGTATTTTTCCTCTTGTAAAATACAGAAATCAGAACTCTTGTATTTACCTGTATTTTTCCTTTTGTAAAATACAAAAATCAGAATTTTTGTATTTTTCTTCTGAAATAAATCAGAATATTATTTTTAAAAAATACAAGTTTTGTATTTTAGTTTATGGCAATGGAATTTAAAAATGAATACACAATTAAAGCAGATCAGAATATTGATGATTTTGAAGAGGAAATAGAAATAGAACCTTTAGCCAAAAAGAAGCCTATAAATGAGAAGGAAAGCAAAGACGGGAGGAATGGAGCTGAGGCGAGTTTTTTAGTCATAACTCTGCTCAAACTCATCCAATCTTGTTGATCTTGGTCTCATTCGATTCAGCTCGATGAGCTCTTTCAAATGAGCTATCAATTGGTTTAGAAAAAATTTTTTACGGGAAAATTTTATTTTTTGGGTACTGTAGGGAGGGCTTAGAAATTTTTTAAAAAATTTTTTGAAAATTTTTCCTAGGCTAAAAAAAATTTTTTTCTAGGAAGCAGAGGGAGACGCAGACAGTAACACTTCTTCAACATCAGTAGTGGTCTGGAAAAGCTACAAACTTGTTAGAGCCTCCAATGCTAATTTACTCGGTCAATTAATGAAAGGACACTTGCCTTTACTCAAAAGAAAATTAATTTTGAACTGAAAAAAATTTTTTTAGGAAAAAAATAATTGAAATATACTCTAAATTTTATTACTCTTATTTTTGTTGAAAAAGAGCAAAACACACATTTTTTATAAAATAAAATTTATTTCCGTCAGAGTAACTTAGATATTTGCATTTTTATGGGGTTTTATGGGAAAAAGGGTAAAAATCAACGAAAAAATAAAATAATAAAAAAATACAATTAAAAAAACTGCCAAACATAACGCATGCGTAAAATTTATTTTATTTTTTGCACTTAATTTCTATAATGTTCAAAGAAAATACGTTTTTACCCTAAAACACAAAAATATTCAAAAAATACAAAATTCACAACAAAACACAAAAATACATAATATTCCGGAAAATATTTTAGTAAACAATATTTCCGGAAACTATTAATATTATAAGAGAGTATGTATTTTTATTCCGGAAATAATACATTCTTTAGATTTCCGGAAAATACCTTCCGGAAACATTTATAATCTATTTAAAATATTTCCGGAAAATACAACAAAATAAATTAATTTCCGGTAATATTACTTTATGGTTCCGGAAAAGACAATATTACCTATAAATAATATTTCCGGAAATTATATTATTCCGGAAAGGTTTCCGGAAAAGTCCCAAGGAATTTCCGGAATATTATTTTATGCTGTATTCCGGAAATATTATTTTATGCTGTACTATTCCGGAAAAAACAATATTACCTATAAATAATATTTCCGGAAATTGACATATGTATTTTTATTCCGGAAAACATTTAATTCTTCTTAAATTAATTCTGATTTTATATTTTCCGGAAACATCTATTTTTAAATGACATTTCCGGAAAATATAATATTAAAAGTAATATGTATGTATTTTTATTCCGGAAGTATTTGTTTTGAAAATTATTCCGGAAAATACATTATTTTGCTGAAACACATACCTATTTATTGTCTTTTCCGGAAAATACATATAATATTATCAGAAATTCCCTATTCCTATTCCGGAAATATATTTTCAACTGGTATTTCTGTTATAATTTTATAATTAAGTTTGCCCTCACTGTGCTGAGCTTTAGACTGACCTGCTCTCCTCCTTTCCAATTTAACTTTTCCCCAAATTTAATTTAACCTCAAAATTTTTTTTATTATTTTTCATGATCCTTTGTTTAAAAAATATTTTTTTTTTATTAAATTTTCTAAGAAAAAAGAGAATATTTTTTAATTTATGTGTCAGCTATAGCGAAGCAATAAAAATTTGTTTTTGCCCCAAAAACAAATTTTCCATTGAAAAAAAAAATAATTTTTTTTTAAACAAACTAGCTTAAAAATAAATTAAAATAAAGTTTAAAAATTAATTGTTTTGATAATTAATCAAAAAAAAATTTAAAAAATTTTTTTTTGATTATTTAAACAATCAAAAAATGGCTGAAATTATTGACAGTTTTAATTGTTTATTTTTAAAATTTATTTATTTCCTTCTTTAATTTTTTTTCTTCTCCTTTTTTTAGTTAAAGAGAGGGAGAGAATTATTATTGTATTAGTAAGCTTTTTAGTAGTTTGGGGAAGAAAAATTTTTATGGACTTCCTGGTTAACACTTGAGACCGGACCGAGGTCTCGATCATAAATCTCGTTTATCGAGATCGGTATTTTTTCGATATCTCGAGCTCAATCCTCGTTGGACCCTTCCAGGCCGATCTCTAGTTAACACAACAAATTTTAATTCATACAGGTACCTTATAATGAGAGTAGCCTAAATAGAGGGCTACCAGCGTCAGAGGTGGGTCGGACAGTCAGAGGTGTCGGAAATCGGAACTCAAAATCTTTTGCGGAAATGGAATTCCGACCCACCTCTGCTTATAATGAGGTGTAGCTTAAATGGAGGGTATACCTTGGAAAACTCCCCCATCCAGCGGCAACCAAAATTTTTATACTGTCGAACCTAATCTGTCAGTAAACCCCTTTGGTTTAAAAATTCGTCGCTTATAATGAGAGGCTGTGATAGAGAGGCCGTGATAAGATCATATGTACTATATAGGGAGTTTGTGATATGATTGGTGGATCCGAAGCCGGTTCCGCTTCCGGATATTTGGAAATTTTCGGACCCGGTTTCGGCTATGTCAGGACTTTCCCAGTATCCACCAACCTTAGTCTGTGACTAAGTTTGACCTCTATTCCACGTCAACACATATAAGGGAAGGTTTGGGGTTGTTCCTTGATTTACTACGTTTATGGTTATTTTGATAAAATATGACGTGGAAACTAAAAATTAAAGAAAAAATTTTCTTTTCCTACACATGACACGATTAAATATTGTTCTTTTTTTATTTGTTTTCTGTCAAACAAATATTTTAGAAATTTAATAAAATTATTTTGGTCATGAAACAACTTATACATATTTAAGAGCCGACTAAACTTGACTATAACCTCGTTAACTTTCTTAGTCTTGATCCAATCTGAATAAATTTTATATCATTCGAAAGCCCTTGATTGGCTCTATCTTTTTTCTAGTTGGGTGAATCAAGTCCGATCCCTCACCAAAAAAGTTATAGCCTGATAACAGTAAAAAACACCAAATAATTGCACTTATCGGTCTCTAACTTTTTAAAGAGTGATCAGACCTGATCCGAATAACTGGAAAAAAGATAGAGCCAATCAAGGGCTTTCGAACGGGGTATGACTCACCTGGGTCGGATCAAGCAGAGAAAAGTTATGGTCGGTCAAACTTGGCTGTCACTCATAGTCTCCCACTAACCTATCCAACTTATTAGGCTATAACTTTTTAATTAGTGACCGGACTTGATCCATCCAATTGGATTAAAGATAGCGCCAATCAAGGGCTTTCGAATGGTATATGACTCACTCGGATCGGATCAAGCATAAAAAAGTTATGGTCGATCAAAGTGGGTAGGTTGACGCTCAGTCAGTCACCCTTATAGCCCCTCACACTTACCCAGCCAAATAATTCTTTTTAAATTTTTTTCACAGATTTATTTTAAAAATAAATTTAAATGGCTTTAAATTGTCAAATTTTTCTATTTATTATTTCCTTTATTCTTTTAAATATTTTACAATTAATTAATCCACATTCTTGTCCCTCCCAAAATGTTTGTAGTGGAAGTGATCCGGCTACTTTACAACTTGAAGGTTATAGCAGACAAAAGAAGGTGATAAACCAAATAAATAAATTTTTAAAATACAGTCGGACTTCTTTATAAGATACCCTCACTACTAGATACACCTCTAGTTAAGCCCATAAGAATTAGGTGGGCCACCATTGGGCGGGGGAGCTGTCTGCGGCACTCTATCTTTAAGATACGTTTTTTAGAATTTACAAATTAGTCAGCCACCGAATGGGAGTGTCTGACTGTATGGAAGTGGTCTAAACGATACCCTCTGTAAGATAGTAACTTCATTATAAGAACGATCCATTATAAGAACTCATTTTTTGTCCTTTATTATTGAAAATATTTAGTGTAGGGGCAGTCTCGAGGCCATAACTCTTTTATTTCTTAACAGATTTAAATAATTTTTATACCATTCGAAAGCTCTAAATGTGTGGATTATTTGAGCCATTAGAATTGATTTAATCAGATCATCCTATCAAAAGTTACAGCCAAATAAGTGCGCGCAGTCGTGATTTTTGGCATTTATTCGACTATAACTTTGGGTATACTGCTCTGATCAAGTCAATCTTGCTAGCTCAAATAATCCTCAAATCAAGAGAATTCGACTAGTATAAAAATGGTTTAAATCGGTTAAGAATTAAGAAAGTTATGACCCAAAATAAGCCCCCACCTATTTTTCCGGGACACGCCCAAAACGGCGCGAGGCCATAAGGGCGCAAAGCCATAACTTGCTTCAAGATTTCCTAATCTTACCAAATTTAGTATTAAACGATTCCTCTCATCGAGATAATGAGATTGGCACCAAAATTGATAATGGGCAGACATTTTCCAGTAAGTTATGGCTTTGCGCCGTTATGGCCGCGCGCCCTTATGGGCCGTACCCTATTTTCCCTTATACCGTCAATAATTGCCTTTCTTTTAAAGACAATCGACACAATGACAACCTCCCACGGTAGCCTAATAGAAACAAGAACTGCCGTATTAACAGCCGGCAAACGAGGACCAATGCTTCTTCAAGACTCTGTCTTCTTAGACGAATTAATGAAATTTGACCGAGAAAGGATACCCGAAAGAGTAGTTCATGCAAAAGGTGCAGCGGCTTTTGGCTATTTTGTTGTAACCAACGATATTACAAAGTATACAAAGGCTTCGATCTTTGCAAAGATTGGAAAGAGAACCCCCTGTTTCTTTAGATTTTCGACTGTTGGTGGGTTGGATTTTTTCTTAAAAGATAAGTCAGGGGGAAGGAGTCCGAACAGAGGTCAAGGGTCAAGGTGTCCGAAGGTCAAGTCAAGGTTCAAACAAGGGGTCCCGAACAGAATCCGCTTAACTCTTAAGTAGGGCATATGCGCCAATGTGACTCTAAGTGGCCTCTAACTAGAGCTCGGCACGGGACGGGACCCCGCACGGGTTTTACGGGATCCAGTCCCGGTATCCGGGTTTTCAGCGAAAAACGGAATTACCGGGATTTACGGGATTAATTACCGGGATTACCGGAATTTCGGGATTTACGGGATTAATCCCGCGGGATCCCGTCCCGTTCAAATTTTTAAACTCAATCCCGTTCCGGGATCTTGGGATTGCGATTTTACCGACCTCTAGCTCTAACCACTAATGCTAACCAATATGGGCTCTAATTCATGGGAGAGCTTTAATACAGAAAACTTGGTCAAGCCTGGGGGTGACTGACCTAATTGAGGGAAGTAAAAGACCTCTGAAAGGCATCAGTGACTGTATTGCTAGGCAGCAGCTTTCTGCTCACCACGTACAGTGGATTGTCTGACTAAGCTGCTGAGGGGCGTTGGGCCTTTTAATAGATCATAAACCCTAGTCTATCAAGCATGCTATCTTCCTTCTCCCTTACATGCAGTCTTAAGCCTGTGAGTGTCTAAAATGATTCTTAAAAATTTTTTTTTAATTACTCAAGCTGGAGAGAAGGGAAGCTCCGACTTGCTGCGTGATCCACGAGGATTTGCTATGAAATATTATACAGACGAAGGCAATTGGGACTTGGTCGGCAACAATGCCCCAATATTCTTCATTCGAGACCCAATCCTCTTCCCCAGTTTTATCCACAGCCAAAAGAGAAATCCGAGGACAAATCTGCACGACCCAAATATGGTTTGGGATTTTGTGTCGTTGAGGCCTGAGGCTATAAACATGATATTGAGGATATTTTCTGATTTGGGAACGCCTGATGGGTTTAGAAAGATGCATGGGTTTGGAACTAATACGTTCAAATTGGTGAGATTTTAATTAATCTGTGTTGGGACAAAATACCGTCCGACAAGCCAGCTTTGATCGATCATAACCTTTTTTGCCTTAATCCTATACGAATAAATCTTATATCATTCGAAAGCACTTGATTAGCGCTATCTTTTTCCCAATTGGATGGATCAGGTCTGATCACTCACTAAAAAGTTATAGCCCAGCAAGTATGAAAAACATCAAATAATTGCACTTATCGAGTTATAACTTTTTAGTAAATTGTCAGACTTGATCCATCCAATTGGAAAAAAGATAGCGTTAATCAAGGGCTTTCGAATGATATATGACTCATTCGGATTGGATCAGTGATAAAAAAGTTATGTTAGATCATAGCCCTCCATCTCAACATACTAAAACAATTTTTCCCACAGGTCAACGCAAACGGAACAGCCGTTTATTGCAAATTTAAATTAGAATCGGTTCAAGGTGTTCACAATTTAACAGCAGAAACGGCTGCAAAGTTAGCACAGGAAGACCCAGATTATTCTACGAGAGATTTATTTAATGCCATTGAAAGAGGAGACTTCCCTAAATGGATTTTTAAAATACAAGTAAATTATAAAGAGAAAAATCAGAATTTTTACAATCAGAATTCTGATTTTAGTAGAATTTTGAAATTCTGATCAAAAATCAGAATTTTGGTCAGTAAAAATCAGAATTCTGGTCACCAATAAATCAAAATTAGGGTCTAAAAAATCAGAATTCTGGTATTCTGGTCACCAAAAGTCAGAATTCTGGTCAGTAGAAAATCAGAATTCTGGTATCAAAAAATCAGAATTCCAAAAAATCAGAATTCTGGTCAGTAAAATCAGAATTCTGGTCAGTAAAAATCAGAATTCTGGTCAGTAAAAATCAGAATTCTGGTCAGTAAAAATCAGAATTCTGGTCACTAAAAATCAGAATTCTGGTTAGTAAAAAACATGAATTCTGGTTTCATATCAGAATTCTGTTTTACTAGCCACCACTCATAACAGGTAATGACATTCGAACAAGCAGCAAAATATCGCTACAACCCCTTTGATGCAACAAAAACTTGGTCTGAAGCAGAATTCCCTTTAATAACTGTTGGACAAGTAACACTAAATAAAAACCCTACCAACTTTTTTGCTCAAGTGGAACAGGCTGCTTTTGACCCTGCAAGGATGGTTAGGGGAATTGAAGCTTCTCCTGACAAATTACTTCAGGGTAGGGTTTATTTTTTTGAGAGAGGGGGAATTTAGGAGAGAATATGCCCCTTAAAGGACATTGTATTCTCTCAAGTGAAAGACGTCTTGTCCTTTTCATTGTGAGAGGGGAAGAAAAGGGAGGCTCTTGTGCTCCTAAAAGCCGATCTAGAACCCTCAGTCCTCTTCTATATTTTGAATAGCCTTTCTTCCAGAGCTCTTGTGCTCCTAAAAGCCGATCTAGAACCCTCAGTCCTCTTCTATATTTTGAATAGCCTTTCTTCCAGAGCTCTTGTGCTCCTAAAAGCCGATCTAGAACCCTCAGTCCTCTTCTATATTTTGAATAGCCTTTCTTCCAGAGCTCTTGTGCTCCTAAAAGCCGATCTAGAACCCTCAGTCCTCTTCTATATTTTAAATAGCCTTTCTTCCAGAGCTCTTGTGCTCCTAAAAGCCGATCTAGAACCCTCAGTCCTCTTCTATATTTTGAATAGCCTTTCTTCCAGAGCTCTTGTGCTCCTAAAAGCCGATCTAGAACCCTCAGTCCTCTTCTATATTTTAAATAGCCTTTCTTCCAGAGCTCTTGTGCTCCTAAAAGCCGATCTAGAACCCTCAGTCCTCTTCTATATTTTGAATAGCCTTTCTTCCAGAGCTCTTGTGCTCCTAAAAGCCGATCTAGAACCCTCAGTCCTCTTCTATATTTTGAATAGCCTTTCTTCCAGAGCTCTTGTGCTCCTAAAAGCCGATCTAGAACCCTCAGTCCTCTTCTATATTTTGAATAGCCTTTCTTCCAGAGCTCTTGTGCTCCTAAAAGCCGATCTAGAACCCTCAGTCCTCTTCTATATTTTGAATAGCCAACCAACTTTGATTGATCGCCCATAACTTTTTTATGCCTGATCCAATCCGAATGAGTCATATATCATTCGAAAGCTCTTGATTAGCGCTATTTTTTTCTAATTGGAAGGACCGAGTCTGACCACACACTAAAAAGTTATAACACGATAAGTGCGATTATTTGGTATTTTTCGCATTTAACGGACCATAACTTTTTAATGAGTGATTAGACTTGATCCATCCAACTAGAAAAAAGATAGCGCCAATCAAGTGCTTTCGAATGGTATAAGACTTACTCTGATCGGACCATGATTTAAAAAAGTTATGGTCGATCAAATTTGGTTGATTGACGCTCTCAGTTTGCTGGCGCCCATTTGACTGCGTTTAGTTGACCCTTCCGACTGAATCTCCCCCTTCTACTTTCTTCAACTTCTACAGCTCAAACAAACTTTAAAAAATTTTCTTTTAAAGGCAGATTATTCTCCTACATGGACACTCAACATCACCGTTTAGGCCCTAACCACATGCTCTTGCCAATAAACAGACCCCTTAAACCAGCAGAAAATACACAGAGAGACGGCCTAAACCAATTTGGAGAGAATGGGGGAGATTCTCCCAATTACTACCCAAACTCTTTTAGAGGGCCTGAACCTACTGGGAAGGCTGCTCAAGAAAGCCAGTTTGTTTTAGAGAAGGAATTAGTTGCGAGGTTTGAAAGTGGCGATGATGATAATTATTCACAACCTGCGGATATGTGGAAAAATGTAAAAAGAATAAGTCTTATGGGGGTTTGACCACGTTATAAGACCTTTAGGGACCCCCTTTTAAGGAAAGCCCCAATACCTTAGATTGGGGGTTGTTTGGACAGCTCCTCCACCAAGTAGACAAATTTAAATAGACGCATCTTAAATTGAGGCGTGTCTTAAATAGAGATAGGTATCTTATAATGAGAGTATCTTAAATAGAGAGGTATAGCTTAGGCGATAATAGACTCTCTTTATAACGACACCCATTTCCCAGATCACTTTTTCTCTTACGTCGTCAAAATTCTTCCAAAAGGGTGTAGTTATAGAGAGAGTCCACTATAAAGGATACCCCTCTATAGGCTAAGAAAGCATATTTTATGATATGTATCCTGAATAGAGGTTTCAATTATGCAGCTCCCTCACTAAGTAGTTAAAAGAACGTATCTTAAATAGAGACGGCCTAAACCAATTTGGTGTCTCTGGTATAAGAGGTAGCTTATAGTGAGGTGTGTCTTAGATGTAGGCGTATCTGAGGGTGTATCTATATTGGGGGTACCTTATAAAGAGGTTGTACCCAAGTAGAGGTTCTCGCTTAGATAGCTCGGCTGTACTTTAGCCGGTGGCCCACTCAGAAACGGGTCAAAATATATACCATTCGATTCGTCTCGGCGAGCTGAGTCGAATGGTGCCATTCTTTTTTTGCGGAAATTCCTACGAGCCGAGATATAGGTACTTAAAAATCGAAAAACCATAGGGGGGACCAAGCACTTTTTTGGGGTGAAAAATTCGAATATGCAAATAATAGCTCATTCGAAAGAGCTCGTCGAGCTGAGTCGATTGACACCAAAATCAACGAAATCCGACTTGATTTGACAAAGTTATGCCCATTTGTTTTAGCTCCTTACCTATGGCATCTGTGGAATTTTTGCTGCTACGGAGGCCCAAAATACGTCCAGAGCAAGGGAGATAGGAATAGGGTTATGTTACAAGCCCAGACCCAGCGCCCGTAGACTCCCCGCGAGGCGCGTGCCGCAAAACTCCGCGCGAAGCGCGGAGTTTTGCACAAGCGCCTCGCCGAAGCCCCATAGGTTTATGTTGCTAGTTTTTTGTGTTGTAACTTTGTCTAAACTTGTTTAATCCCGGTGATTTTGGTGTCATTCGACTCAGCTTGTCGAGCTCTTTCAAATGAGTTATAATATGGTCAAAAAATTTTTAATTCCAAAAATCACCCTTTTGGATTAACAGTTTTCAGAAGTCTATATCTCGGTCCAATCAAGTCGGATTTCGTTGATTTTGGTGTCAATCGACTCAGCTCGACGAGCTCTTTCGAATGAGCTATTATTTGCATATTCGAATTTTTCACCCCAAAAAAGTGCTTGGTCCCCCCTATGGTTTTTCGATTTTTAAGTACCTATATCTCGGCTCGTAGGAATTTCCGCAAAAAAAGAATGGTACCATTCGACTCAGCTCTCCGAGACGAATCGAATGGTATATATTTTGACCCGTTTCTGAGTGGGCCACCGGCTAAAGTATATCCGATAGCTCTCCTACACAACCTCCTATTTAAGAGTCGCCTCATTATAATAGACGTATCTTAAATAGAGAGTATCTAATATTGGGTGTATCTTAAAAAGAGGTGTCATATCCATTATACGAAATATTATCTATTAAATTCGATTTTTCAGCAATTAGACCACGGAGCACGTAAACGCTTAACAGAAAACATAGCAGCTTCATTGTGCCAAGCATTGCCCAGAATCCAAAAAAGAATGCTTAACGAATTCGGAAAAGTTTCAAAAGATTTGCAAAGAATGATCGAACAAGAAATAAAAAAGAGACAAAATTATTAAAAATTAGGTCATCCCTCCAATAAAATTTTTTCAGCTTGTTCCCCTTTTTAAATAAACTTTTTTCTATTCATCCCTTTTAGCGAGAGAGAGGGGGAAAATAAAACGCCTGTGTTTCAGCTTAATGAGTGAGACGAAAATAAATACATTGTTTTTCCGGAAAATATTAAAATAGCAGAATGTGTATTTTACTAAATCTCTTTTGTGTGTTTTTCCGGAAATTTTTATTTTATGGGTTTCCGGAAATATTATTTTACACGATTTCCGGAAAAAACTGAAAAGGAATATCAGAATAGTGTGTATTTTCGCTTCCTTTGTATTTTTTGTGTTTTCCGGAAAATTATTAAAATATCAATTGTGTATTTTACTAACTCTCTTTTGTGTTTTTCCGGAAATTTGTATTTTAGGGTTTCTGAAAATATTAAAAAGAAAAATCAGAATAGTATGTATTTTCCTTCTTTTTGTATTTCTTTTAAGTTTTCCGGAAAATACATAAAATCAGAACACGTTTGTATTTTTGTATTTCCCTATTTTGTATTTTTGTAAATATAATTTTCCGGAAACTATTCTGATTTTACCTGCCTTTGTATTTCTTTCCGGAAATATTCGTTTGCGTGTTTTTCCGGAAATATGTATTTTATTTGACCAAAAACATTAAAAAGAAAAATCAGAATAGTATGTATTTTCCCTTCCTTTGTATTTCGTTCAAGTTTTCCGGAATGTGTATTTTTGTTTTCCGGAAATATTTTTTGTATTTTTTCTAAGATGTGTAGTTTTCCGGAAACATGAAAAAGAAGAATCAGAACATGTTTGTATTTTTCTTCTTTTGTGTTTCTTTCCGGAAAATACATAAAATCAGAATATGTATGTATTTTCCCTCCGGAAAGCAAAATCAGAATATGTATTTTCTCTCCCTTTTTTTGTATTTTCCGGAAAAATTCATTTGTGTGTTTTTCCGGAAACTATTCTTTTGTATTTTTTCCGTGATAGTTTTCCGGAAACTATTCTGATTTTAAATGTTTTTGTATTTCTTTCCGGAAAATAAATCAGAATATGTATGTATTTTTGTATTTCTTCTGTAAATATTTAAACATTTCCGGAAACTATTAAAAATCAAAATATACACAATTTTTCCCCTTTTGTATTTTTCCGGTTTAATAAAGTGTTTTTCTTTTTCTAGTGGCTAATATTAACGTTATTATAACAAGCATTATGCCCTTGAGTGGAGAGAATGTTTTTTAATAAATTGCGCCACTACAAATAAATTTATCTATTTAATTAAAAATTAATTTCTATTAAATTCCCAAATATTTAAATAAAATTTATGGTTTCTTCAATTAAAATTTGGATTAAATTTATTTTATTTGTGCATACGTCTTTTAATGTTATTGCGCGTGAAAGGGTAATTATTATTTTATTTTGGAGCTCTTATAAAATACCCATAAAATTCAATGTATTTTTGATTAAATAAATAGTTGTTAAGAAGACAATTAATTATGTATAATCAGAATTTGTGTTTGATGTGTTTTCGACTATTAATTTTTCCGGAAACTCTTTTCAAATGTTTGTATTTTGTTTGTATTTTTTGTTATTATTCCGGATTGGTTTTTCCGGAAAATGCATATTATATTAATGTTTCCGGAAAATACATATAAATTATATTCCGGAAAACACATATTAAAAAGTTTCCGGAAACTTATATTAAAGTTTCCGGAATATAAATAAATATTAAGTTGTTCCGGAAAATGAATATTAATATGTTTTCCGGAAAATACATATTAAAATGCTTCCGGAAAATACATATTAAAATGCTTCCGGAAAATACATATTAAAATGCTTCCGGAAAATACATATTAAAATGCTTCCGGAAAATACATATTAAAATGCTTCCGGAAAATACATATGTATAAAAAGTTTCCGGAAAATACATATTAAAATGCTTCCGGAAAATACATATTAAAATGCTTCCGGAAAATACATATTAAAATGCTTCCGGAAAATACATATTAAAATGCTTCCGGAAAATACATATTAAAATGCTTCCGGAAAATACATATTAAAATGCTTCCGGAAAATACATATTAAAATGCTTCCGGAAAATACATATTAAAATGCTTCCGGAAAATACATATTTAATTATTTTCCGGAAAATGAATATTAATATGTTTCCGGAAAATAAAAAAAATCCGGATATTATGTATTTATTTGGATTTTTAAGTTTCCGGAAAATTAAAAAACCGGAAATGAATACAGAATTAACAGAAAAACACATTTTATATTTCCGTTCTTTTGTATTTTCTTCCGGAATGAATATAAATTAAATTAGATTAATTATATTCTCTTTCAGTTTTCACCCCAAAAATCACCTTTAACATCACCTAAAAATGCCACAAATTTTTCTTCCCATAATAACTCGTCAAAAATGGGAAAAATTAATCGCCGAAAGACTTCAATGCCTGTATTTAATTACAAAAATTCCAATTTTATAAGTAGAGAATCAAGCAATTTAACAACACAAGAGGAAAGGGGAAGTGAAGGGTTTTTAGAGAATGAACAACAACAACACCAACATGTAATGACAGCGCTGCCTGATTTAAGTGAGTAAACAATACCCAATTCAAATACAGAACTAACGGCAAAATACATTTTAACCGGAAAATACAAATGAAAAAATACATTTTCTGATTTTTAATTGTTTCCGGAAAATTATTTAAAAAATACTTCCGGAAAATACGGAATAAGCAAATGGGTACTTTTCTGTTTTGTGACCGCACTTTAAAAATGTCTAAAAAGGGTAATGAATATCGACAAATTATATGTCATTCGAAAGAGCTCCTCGAGCTGAGTCGAATGACACCAAAATCAGCTCGAGATCTTGATTATGAGCCAAGATAAAAAGGTTAAAAATGGTCAACGTAAACCTATGGATGGCATAGGTAAGCTAAAACAAACGATCATAACATTGTCCAATCCTGTTCAATCACGGTGATTTTGGTGTTTCTCGACTCAGCTTGCCGAGCTCTTTCAAATGACATACATTTTGGTCATATTCATTATTTTTGACCATTTTGATCCTTGTATCTTTTGACCATTTCGAGCCCCACCATTTCGAATCCCACATGATCTTGGTGCCATTCGACTCAGCTCGAGGAGCTCTTTCGAAGGACATATAATTTGTCCATAGGACATATAATATCCATAGTCATGACCCTTTTTAAACATTTTTAAAGTGTGGTCATAAAACAGAAAAGTACCAGCAAATGAAATACTGGTATTTTTTCGGAACGATTTAAATTGTTCCGGAAAAAATACAAATATTCTTCTTAACCGGAAAATACAAATTTAAAAATACATTTTCTGATCTTTAATTTTAATTGCTTCCGGAAATTGATTTAAAAATATTTCCGGAAAAATACAAAATAATCAAATGGAATTCTGATTTTTTCCGGAACAATTTAAATCGTTCCGGAAAATACAAATATTAAAGTAAAAACACATTTTCTGATTATTAATTATTAATATTTCCGGAAACAATTTGTATTTTCTTTTCCGGAAAAAATATGTAAATAGTTCCGGAAAGAAATACAAATAAAATACAAATATTATTCTGATTTTTATTTTTAACAATTTCCGGAAAATACATGAAAATTCTGATTTTTCTTTTCCGGAAACAGAAGAAGAGACAGATGAGGGATTTTGGGGGAATTCTGATTCATATATTTCCGGAAAATACAAAATAAAATAGAATGCTGATTTCTCTTTTCCGGAACAAATTAAATTGTTCCGGAAAAAATACAAATATTAAAGAAAAACACATTTTATGTGTTTTTAAGTATATTTCCGGAAACAGTTTGTATTCTCTTTTCCGGAAAATACAAATAGTTTTTTAATAATTTCCGGAAAAATACATACATGAGATTTCCGGAACATGAGATTCTCATTTCCGGAAACAGAAGAGGGTAAAAATGAGTGATTCTGGAGAAATTCCGATTTATGTATTTTCCGGAAAATACAAAATAAGCCAATAGAATGCTGATTTCCGGAAAAATACATGAGATCGGGAAAACACATTTCCGGAAAAACACATCATCTGTACTCTCTTCTGTTCTCTTTTCCGGAAACAGAAGAGGAGACAGATGAGGGATTCTGAAAAAATTCCGATTTATATACTGATTCATATATTTCCGGAAAAATTAAACAAATAAAAATAATGTATTTTTAATAGGCGATCCTTGCTTTCGTCGCTACATAAATAGGTGGATTTTTCGACTTTTTTTTAATTTTTCCTTAAATTATTCATTTTCCCAGTATAATAATTAATGCTCAGCCCTATGAACGTCGTTCCAGCATTTCTTTGGTTAATTGTAAAATTCAATGTCTTCGTTCACAAGTTGGCCACTATACTTGCCGGTCTTTTGTTTATGACAATATTAATCAAGTATGCGACCTTTTTGCCCATGTTGGAGATTTGGCACCGGCAAGGTGGTTGCTGTTGAAGTATTTTATGAATGAGAGGGAGAGGATTTTGAAGGACGGGAGACTAATTCAATTTAAACCCTTACTCATTAGGGATGTGTGCCATGACGTTTTGGCGTCCATTTTTACTGATTTTGGCGTTTGGCGCGCCACTCGAAAATTTTGGTGCACAACCAACCCTCTTCCTCATCTATGAGGGAATTCCATGGGGAAGAGAGGAGATTCCCAAGAAGAACCTATATCTATCCGAGATAGAGTTGGGCTCACCGTCTTCGTCCAATAATGCTTTTTAAGCTATTCCCGACATCCCCGTTCTCACAAAAAATTGATTGAGGGGAATTTCGGGGAATTCTCGGCCTTTTTAAATTCTCAAAATTTTCGCCTGCGGCGTTAATAAGAGGAAGCTCTCTCTCTGGATATGGAGCCTAGCTTCGAATAGGGTCGGAGCTTAGGCTGTTCACTCCACCCAGTGGCCAGTGAATTTTTAGAACACTCGGAAGAGAGGGTTTAGCTGACATCTTGTAAAT